AAGTCACGTGGCTGGCAATCTCATTAATGTTTCTGAGGCTAAACAAAAGACAAAACTTGTTTCTGACCTCAAAAAAAAAAAAAAGAACAAGATCATAAAACAATGGACGCTGTAGCCCTAACCGGATATACAGAGCAACCTCGGTTCTCGAACATATCACGTGTTGAACAAATCGGTTTTCGAACAGAAAATTCGAGGCGAAAATACCTCGGTTATCGAACAAAATTTTGCTTCTCGAACATTGCCGAACCGAGTTAACCCGAACGAAATCATTTCTGAGTCGACCGCCATGTTGTATACATTCGTGTATTGTGATGTGCTTTGCTTTCCCAGTTTTATTGAACTTGCCTTTTTCTCTTCATTAGTCCTCAGTCATGGCTCTAAAGAACGTTAAAGAAAGTGATACTGGTAAAGAAAAAAGAAAAGTTAAAAGAAAAACAATTGTTGATGATGTCTCTATGATGATAATGTCTCTTCCTTCTCACTTTCATATGGCAAAATCAACAATCTATACTATTCTTATAAATAAAGAGACGATCATGTCTTCCCTTCCCTTTTCCAAACAATAACATCTCTTTCCTTCCCCTTCCACTTACGCCATCAACTCTCCTACATACAGGTACGGTATCATTGAAGTGTTCGTCTGTATTTTATCTGTTTAGTATAGGTTTTTTTTTGGGGGGGGGTGTTTTTAGATTTCATAACCGCCTAACCGGATATACAGAGCAACTTCGGTTCTCGAATATGTAACATGTCGAACAAATCGGTTTTCAAACAGAAAATTTGAGGCGAAAATAGCTCGTTTATTGAACAAAATTTCGCTTCTTGAACATTGCCGAACCGATTTAACCCGAACGAAATCATTTCTGAGTCAACCGCCATGTTATATTCATTCGTGCATTGTGGTGTGCTGTGCTTTCCCAATTTTATTGAACTCTGCCTTTTTCTCTTCATTAGTCCTCAGCCATGGCTCCAAAGAAAGCTAGCAGTGATAATCTTAAAGGAAAAAGGAAAGTTAAGAGAAAAACAATTGTTGATGGTAATGTCTCTTCCTACTCAGTTTCATATGGCAAAATCAACGATCTATGCTATTCTTATAACTAAAGAGACGATCATGTCTTCCCTTCCCCTTTCCAAACAATAACAACTCTTTCCTTCCCCTTCTACTTACTCCATCAACTCTCCTACATACAGGTACGGTATCATTGAAGTGTTCGTCTGTATTTTATCAGTTTAGTATTGTTTTTTTTTTTTGTTTTTTTGTTTTTGATTTGTTTTGTTTTTTTTTAGAACTTCATAACCGCCTAACCGGATATACAGTGTATTGTTTTTTTCTCGAGCATCTCACATGTCGAACAAATCGGTTTGTGAACAGAATATTCGTGATGAAAATGCCTCGGTTATCAAATAAAATTTCGCTTCTCGAACAACATTGCCGAACCGAGTTAAACCGAACGGAATCATTTCTGAGTCCACCGCCATGTTGTATTCATTCGTTTGGGCACCTCGATTTGGTGTAATGGTTAGCAAGCTTGTCTCGCTAGAACAATTAAGACTGAGTAGTGAGTTCGATCCTCACTGTGTGCCCCATACTTTCACTATATTCATTCGTTTGTTGTGCTGTGCTTTTATTTCCCAATTTTATTGTCATTCAGTTAGTTATGCGCCATGAGTGATACATGACTGCCGATGCAGATATTTTCCCGCAGTAGGTTACCATTTCCAAGACTATAGAACCCGGTCTTTACCCATAGCTGGTAGGAGAAGAAGAGGATTCATACCTTTCCCAAGGGTATTACCACTTAAGTGAATGCAATGGATCCGACTGAAATTCGAACTCGGCTCTTCAAATCTTCAATCCAAGCCGCTATCCATTACTCCACCTACTGTGACTTTTTTATACATTGATTCCTATTGGACAAATAGTTTTGGTTTACGAATATTTCGGGTTACGAACGACCTTGATGAATGAAATAAATTCGTGAACCGAGGTTCCACTGTATTAGGTTGGTCAGAAAGTTCTGACTCACTTAAAAGACAGAAAGAAAACAACAAAGTTTTATAGATCAACACCAACATTTATTTCTCAAAATAAAGTCCATCATTTTCGACGATCTTCTGTTATCCGAATCTTTCCCAGATACCAGCCCGCTGGCTATGAATCAAAAAACAATAAACAAGCTTCTTTCACTTGATCGAAAGTGTTGAATCACTCGTCGCGGAGGAAGTGTGCCATTAGTGACTCGGAACAGCAACGGGAATGAATGGTGGATGTGGAAGAGACTCAACACTGTCCATCTGTTTGAACTTCTCAACCTGGCAGTGCGTTGCCTCGCATTGTCTTGTCGAAACAAAGCCCGACCTCGACTGACTAAGGCAGGATTCTCCTTCTTTAGTTTGTCATACAGGCGGTCTGGCTTTTGGCAGTAGAGTTTAGCGTTCATGGTGCGAACGTGTGGAACAAGATCGAAATGAAGTATTTTTTTCACGCTTCTTAAGTGAGTCAGGACTTTCTGGCCAATCTAATATATTTATACTTCTGTTCATGGGAACGCTCAAATGACTCTCCCCGACCCCATTTGCTATACTCCCAGTGTATTTAGGTTTTACTCTTCATCGAATCTCATCTACGGGATGTAAGGGTAGCTTAACGGTTATCGACGCCGTAAGTGGAAACAGCAAATTAAGTTCAAGTTCTGTTTGTTCAAAAATTTGCTTGTGAGAGTGCGGCTATCTGATGAACTTTCGGAAGACAGCCTGGAGAGCTGGTGAACCTGCAAAAAGCGAATGCCAACCCTGTTCTTTAAAAATTTCAATATAATGTCAATCGCTATCTATTGTCTTTATGATTACTATACTATAGTTCTTGCGCCTTTCTTTCTTTTTTCATTTTCCTTCACTTTCAATAACGTCTTGTTTCTTAGTCGCTTTACTGCCTTGATTGGATTGATATGATAAACAAATGATATTGTTCGAGGGTCGAATAGATAATTTGTAGCTCATGAAGCTGGAAAAACAATATATATATATATATATATATATATATATATATATATATATATATATATATAGATAGATAGATATATAGATAGATATAGAACATTTATTTTTAATTACATTTCAAAGTATATATTTTGGCTATAAATTCTATCTGATTTCATTTAATTTCTTTTTCTTTTTATTCATCTTTCATCACTTTTATTATTAAATACCCCACATTATGATATTAATTCTTATAATTCATAAAGGTGAAATGTTGCAAGAACCTGGACGTGAAAGAAAAACAAACTAACTGAAATCTGTTATACTATATATACAAAATATATATTTCTTTAAAAAAAAAAATACATTTAAATTCAAAATTCCTTTTTCCTTTGTGCGCATGTCTACTCGCATCCACGTAAACATCGCTTCAGACCGATAAAATCCTGAAGGACGAAATGCGTCACCCGAAACATTTCCCAGCTCATGAAGATAAAAAAATATTCAAATCAATCATTGGGAATTATTATACCATTTCATTTTGTTTATTTTAATTATGTTAATCGATTTGATACGTGACTTCCACATGTACGCGAAAAGAAAAAATAATGGAACATTGTATAAGCCGCATATCTGATGTTGTTAATATTGTGTCCTCCAATAATCAATCCTGGTAAGATTTATAATTCTCTCGGGATTGCTTCATTGCAATGGTTAAATAAGTCCGGGAAGAAGACACCACCTTGTCTTACCTGTTTTCTATTTTTGTGTACTCGCTGAATACATTTTCTCTACTTGTGCAGTTCTTTGCTCCCAGTATAAGTCGTAAATTATTCTAATGTCGTTCTTAAATTAATGAAGCTTACCTAACAGTTTCGGCATTTCATTGAGACGTACATTGTCAAACAGTTCAGCATAATCTATAAAATATAGGTATATATCCTTCTACATTTATATTACTCTTTCTGGTGTCATTCTGATCATAAATAAATATCGCATTTTCAAACTACTTAATACTTTGATATGAAAAACAACTCCTCATTAGTCCATTTATATTAGCGGGACAAAATCGTAAAGTTCTTTATAATGACAAAGGCATCATTCTTTGACCACCTCTTACAGTACTGTACTGCACTGATGCGGCATTCACCCTGGGCAGATTGAGCCGGCTTCTTCCTGTTATGAGAAGAAGATTCTTGGGATAAATTACAGAAGTAGGGTACCCAGGCCTACTCGGATAACGTTCTTGCTTGAATTCAGGGTTCCCACAGACGCAGAGACAGGAACGACCAGAACACCGCCGGTTACCGATGCAGACGCTCCTTGGATTTTCAACAAGCCCTTGTCTGCCGGCGTGTGTGGGAGACCTGTGGACCTTGGGTTTTTCTCAGGAACGAAGTTCGGGCAGCATATCTCTGACACTACCGTTTCACCCCCCCACCGACTGTGAGGTAAGGGTTGGACTTTGGGGACTTACAGTACCAGGTGTTTCCCCAAAGCGGTCCCCATCTAAGTACTGACCTGGCTCTAGGCTGCTTAACTTCGGTGATCGTACGAGAACCGGTGTTTCAACGTGATTTGACCGTAAGCATACCTTCTCGTAGCAACAATACAAATGGGTATCACATACAAGCTGTTACTTTTTCGTGCTAACAAAAACAAAAGGCTTGGATCGAGAAACTCATCAGTATTAGAAAGAGATAAAACAGTTACTGGATTTCAGAAGACGAATCTCCTGAAAAATTATTCATGCTTTCTAGCCCAGCTTCAAAAATTTCAATAAAATATCAATAGTTTTCTATTGTCTTCACGGTTCCTCTTCTTGATGAAATCCAAAGAAGACTCGGCAATATTACTGGACCTGTCATGGCATCTCGGCTTGAGTAAATTTCCTACCGGCGTAATGTAGCTTCCCTTTGCCTTTCCTATAAATACTTTTGAAACGCTGACTGCTCTGTCATAAATTGTTTCCTGTATGGAAACGTCTTATTTCACATTTACAACACCATTGTCTGAAAATGTCTATCATTTTAGCAGAAGGGCATAAGATTCCGTGAGGACAACACTAAAGGATGGTCCGAAAGTATTGTCACCCCTGCATCATGTAATTTTCTCTTTCAGATGGCTGACACAAATATGGTGTTCACACATACCTTCTCAATGTGTGACAGTGTCATTGAAAGTGAATAAACTGAATCCAGTACATGTGTTTTGTATTACTGTTGTTGTTCACATTACTTTTTGTCAGGGTGTGACAATTCTTTCGGATCACTCGGTAGATCTCATGTTTAAAAAGTGACCGGACAAAAATGTTTACTTTTCCTTAGACTAGGTTTTACTTAGGTGCAGTATTTAGCAGGTAAAAGGTTTTGGGGTTACCATATTATTGGATAAAAAAAATCCTGAAAAATGCATATTTCACCAAGATTTTGATTGCTTCTTTTTTACGCTTTATCATCTCATTGCAGGTTATTTAATTGCGTATCTTACTGGAAGAGAGGAAATATTTCTCGATTTCTGGGGATTTTGTATCGACACAGTAAAGACCGTTACTGCGCATGGCACAAAAGCAGGTTAACGTAATTCCTTTATGAATATTTTGGCCATTTAATAAACTGAACTTTAGTGTTCCCAATTAATTTTAAATTAACAGTAACCAAAGTGATAAAAACATATTTTAAAACAGTCATTTGAGAATGATTTCTTTGGGAACTGAGGCAGATGGCATTAAAAATAATATTAATAATAAAAAGAATGTCCATTAAACATCCTTCCCCAATAGTAAATAGGTCAGAAAGAGAAGGTTTATCGTTTTAAAACGAAATAAAGTGTAAGAAGTAAGTCTGTATATCGATGAGTCACCTTTATTCTCAATACCAGAGACCAGACAAAAATAAAGCGTAACCTTTGTAGCATATGGATCACTCCTGCTGTTTGACTTTTTTTTTTACATTTCTAAAAACAATACGCCAGATTTTTTCTAGATTTTTACATTTCTGTCGAATGAAGATAGCTCAGTGGTAGAAACTCTGACTGACGCCTAATCGGTTGGGTTTCAAACCTGACTTGAGACATTCCGATGTCTTGTCGCATTGAAGAGCTACGATACAGCGAAAAAAAAATACTGTCTGCGAATGATCTATCTATGCAATGTTATTTTTCTCTATATTTCTTTTTTAGACAGTGTGTCGATATATCTATCTATATTTCTTCTTAGACTATCTCTCTCTCTTTCTCTCTCTCTCTCTCTCTCTCTCTATATATATATATATATATATATATATATATATATTTATATTTATACACGTTTCATTAAATAATATGAACAAGTGTTGTCTATTTTTTTTGTAAAAATTTTTCGTATCTTCTGATAAGTTTGGTAACATTATCATTAACCGAAAAAAGAAATTCACAATATTTATCCATTATTTTTTAATAAAATCTAAGCTTTCCGGCTTACTCAAGCCATTATCAAAAGATGTAAATACAAACATATCAACCAATATACGGACACGACAGTGATGATATAGTCTGTCATTGTTTAGTTTACATAGTGAATCACTACAACGATGAACACGCGCATATAAGACGCTAGAAGCGAAAAATCGTACCGCATCTCATGACGTCACACATGACTACACGAGAGTGAATTGGAGAATGAAATAAGGAAAGCCGTTGGTATAATCAATGGCTTCTGTTACCATTGTCAGGTTTTTCACTTTTTAGGATTTGGATTACTTCTAATGTTGACTTAACACTATATTTACTAGGAAGATAGGGAGTAATAAGTTGGTTGATGTATTTTGTTAGATGATATACAGGAGTTGGAATTTGCGATATGATAGGACGGAGAGGATAGTTAGGTTTATGTGTTTTTATAGTATATTGGTTGATATGTTTGTATTTACATCTTTGATAATGGCTTGAGTAAGCCGAAAGCTTAGATTTTATTAAAAAATAATGGATAAATATTGTGAATTTCTTTCGGTTAATGATAATGTTACCAAACTTATCAGAAGATACGAAAAAATTTACATAAAATAAATAGACAACACTTGTCTATATTATTTAATGAAACGTGTATAAATGAAAATATGCTGCCTAAATACACACAATATATATATATATATATATATATATATATATATATATATATATATATAGAGAGAGAGAGAGAGAGAGAGAGAGATATAAAGTCAACACAAGCTAGTTAGTGAAGCCTCTAAGACACAAGGGGTTATTAGAAGTTGAAATATTAGAAAACAGATACACTACCACAGAACGCTAACTATAGAAGAGTAATCAGGAGGACATTAAATAGCGACTGACATTGCATTTAAAGGCGATAGTCAGTTTCAAGCTTATATATATGTATATATATATTGTTGTGGTGTCCTCCCTGTAAGAGTCTATGTTAGACTCTTCCGCCTACTATAAGCTTAGTAGGTGAAGGAAAGTGAATAGATTGAGCGCTAGTTCATTCGATACACTCTCACTAGTCTTCTGGTGTACTTACTGTTCAATATACGATATATCTGCAAACCTGGTTTTTGTTATTACTTAACCATTTACTTGATCACAACATATATATATATATATATATATATATATATATATATATATATATATATATATATATATATATATATATATATGTATATAATTAATACTACCCATCAAAAGTGTGAATTTTCATTTCATCTTTCATTTCATCTTTTTGCAAGTGATATCTGATGAGCCAGCGTCCTTTAAAAGGGCTCTGGTGAAATAAATTATGACAATGGAACCTTAAAGTGGTCTGTTTTTCTTTAATATATATACATATATATATATATATATATATATATATATATATATATATATTTACTAATTTAAAAATATGGTCCCATCGCTACACAGGAATTACCATGTTTCAAAAACAGAAAACCTAACGACAAACCTCTTGATATAAACACATCTTCCAGCCACCATTATTGTGTTGTGAAATACACCAAACGCTATGCTGGTTATAGTTTTATGTTGAAAACGTTAATACAGAGTGATGTTCAGCATCAAATTTTAATTTTGACATGCGTTGTATCTATATATTGAACATAGTTTGCCTCATTTAAATTTTCTTAGCTTTTTTTTTTTTTATCCCTATCGTTTTTAATTATACCATAAATTTTAGCTGTACTGTCGTGTGGAAAGAAGATATTTTGTATGATGCTGGACGTAAATATACCGTAGAGGTTTCCGAAATTAGTACACTTTCGATATCTTTTCGTCTTAATAAATTGCTTTGTATTTTAATTAAAATTTCGTTATTTAAGTTGAAATTATGGTCAAACTTATTACGGTGAACGACAAGTGCAGTGAGTAAATTGTTTTGTAAATTGTTTTGTAAAAGATCCCTTTTGTGTTATTTATTTAAATTACTGCAAATTTTATCTGTATATTTAGTGCTTCTTATTAAGCCTCTTTTATAAATTCCTGCTTCGTTATTATTTTGTTGTGCTAATTAATTTCTTGTTGTTTTTAAAGTATCTCTGACAACTTTTCTATTAGTTTTAAACTGTGGTTGTTTTTGAATTACTCTAGAGTATTTTAGTGTCGTTAATTACGATGATTTTGTAAGTTTTTCTTCGTGGTGAATATGAAATAATTAGCTTAATGGAGGAGTTTAGAAATATTTTAATATATTTCTCTACATCATGTAAATATTCAGGGCTACGAATTCTAATTGCTCTTAAATATAAAACATAATTATTCCGTACTGGTGAGAATAGAAATCATTTTTCTTGGTGTATGTGCAATAAACGCTTAATTTTTTTTATCGTTATCAATACGGTTATGATATAAAGAAGAGGTAATATACTGTTTTATAGACGTGAACAAAAAGTCTGATAAATGTATACCAGATACATGCAGCATAGCCAAATGTGCGCGATATGGAGATAGGCTTCGATAAAAGCAGGACATAACCTATTGAGGTGAGTCCTAGTTACAAATAACTTCGTGTCCGTTTACACAGGGCTCTCAGATGGTATTTGAAAGACGTTTTTATCTAGATTTGACTCCAATGTCGCCTGTGCTGACTCACCCTACAAAAACAATAACATCCTTATCGACATTTTTGAAATTGGGCGATTTTAATCTTTGTTTGAGGGCTTAATGTCCGTATATGTTTTTGATATAGCTTTCAGTCTAGGCCAACATGTTGATGTTTATTGTTGCGATTATATATAGATATTGGTCGAGAATATAATGCTTTTGATTTCATATTGATTAAAATTAGCCAGGTTTGTATCTGAGTCCATATGTAAGTATTGATCGTATCTAAATTGTAAAGCTATTCGTCCGGTTTGTATTTCAGTCTTTATACTAATATTGGTGGGGGTCTAAATTGTACTACTGATAGTCGGGTTTATATTTGAGTCATTTCAAAATTTTGAGCCTATTAGTCGGATCCAAATTTTTAGGCTATCAGTTCGATCCAAATTTGCCACTATACGTAAATTTTGGTCGGTGATATTGGTCAGTTATTTTCTTTATATCTATATATATGCCGGATCTAAATTTTGTGGCTATGATCTGGTTTTATATTTGCTTCTATATGTAAATATTGGTCTGGTCCAAATTCTGAGGTTATGGGACTGATTTATAATTGAGTCTGTAGAGTAATATGGACCAGGTCTAAATTTTGAGCCTGTTGGTCTGGTTTATAATTGAATCTATAGCTTAATATGGGCAAAACCTAAATATAGCAGCGATTGTTCGCGTTTATATTTAAGTGTAGTCATTAAATTTGGGCAGTCTAAATTTCCAGGTATTAGATTGATTTCATTTAGAGACCCTCCCTTAACTTTACCATGTCTCTGTAACTACCCCTTTTACACTTTCTGTTAAATTAAAAAATCTTACACTACCCATCAATTTTAATTTCATTTTTCGTTTCATTTCATTTTTGGCAGTGTTATCTGATGATCCGGCGTCCTTTAAAAGGGCTCTGGTGAAATAAATTATTATAATGGTACCTTAAAGTGGTCTGTTTTCTTTAAAATATTAGCTCTG